TTCCCTCATCACCATTCTCAAGCTCACATGAAAAAAAACAAGAAAGAGAAACGGTTAGCAAAGAAACGTGGATAAAAACAAAGAACTTTCCAAGAAGAATTTCCTCTCCAAGATTCATTATTAGGGTTTTGTAAAGGAATTAGAATTTATGTTTGGTTTTCAATCAGGTGTTAAGCCAAACCCAAAGCCTCATATCCATTTGTTTCAAAGTAAAATCGGAATTTCAATACATAGTCATGGGCCAAGTTTCATCTTCACTGCAAATCACAAATTCAATTTTGTTCACAGTAAGAAAAAATCAAAGAGACCCAAATAGGAATTACAAACTCAGAAAAAGCCTCAACACAGTTCTGACCCAACATAACAAGAAATAGCATTGCAAAACTAGTCCAGCATCACAATTATGCACGGCAGTAAAAATCACAAGTCAACATTCAAGTTCAGCCCAAACAACAAAAACCCTTATCTCAACAACTAAACCACGACAATCAGAAATAATTGTCAAGCCCAAAAGTAAAACAAAATCAGCAAGTCTGTTATCACAAAAAATCAGAGGGTCCAACATCAAAGTTCACAGCTCAACGAAATCAGTAAAAAAAACAGTGACTGCAGTAACAAACACGGATGCAGCAAATCTCAAAGCGGGAAAGAAATTCAAGGCCTATTTTCATAATCATTAAATCCAACACAGATGAAACCCTAAAATCGTACAGTATTTAAGCATTCATTGGCATTAAAATCAGTGGGGGATGATTATACATAGAAAGATAAGTTGCACAAACAACAACTCAAACCCTAAAGAAAATTGTATTTATCATTTTCCACAGATCACAAAACCCTTCCGAAAAATAAAATGCCTTCATCATCGTTCTCACAGCTATCAAGCTAATAAACCCTAACCTACTCATCATTTTCACTAACACAAAACCCTTCAGAATATGAGAGAGTTCAGAAGAAGAAAAGAGTGAAAATTAGAGAGATCTCACCGATTTAGACTCAGAAGCAATGTCTCTGCCGTCGGCCATCAACATCATCATCATCAACAAAAATCACATTGAAGCAACCACGAGCACCAAAATCGCAAAATTTGAGCGTCTAGGGTTCGAAACCCATTTCAAGATCTATGCTAAATCACTCGGTTTATGCAAAATTGAACACCAGATTAGCACTCAGCGAAGCAAGATGAAGTTATTGAACCAGAAATTTCAGATATCATAACACGTCCTCCGCCACTACCGTCGCCGTGAAGCAATTATCAGCATGGTGTGTCTTCCTGATTCGACAAGAGTTTTGTTAGAGAAGAGATGAGAGAACAAAGGAGCATTAAGAGGAGAGAGAGTGTATGAAGACTTTAGAGAGAGATTTTGTTTTTATGACTATTTGTTTGTTTTTTTTATTATATTCAATGCAGATCATGGTGGTTTAGGAAACCCGTGGTTGGCAAGTGGCCACTGATGGCACTTGTCTCCACCTGAGAAGACAACTCCCGAAGTTTTACCCCATGCCTGCATCCCCAGGGGTTGTACCGTGTACCTTGGTAGTATTACATCTTGATCGTGTCCTCAGATTTGTCACAAGAGATCAACGCTCCAAACTGCGTATCCATGTTGCACCTCCTTGAAGCTAATGCACAGGATCCCACACGCCTCTTTGTTGGACTTGGGCTTCTCTATTGATGGGCCTCACAAATTTGCCATTTACACGTCTAGCTTTTGCTGATTCGACCCAACTCTTTTACTATTTATATTTTTTTTTCTTTTTATTATTTTACTATTCTTAGTTTTATAAAATATAAAATTATATACAAAAATATAAATAGTTTTTTTTAAATAAATAATTAAATTAAAAATATTATTTAGTATTATTAATTATTTCGCTAATTATTTTTATTAAATAAAATGGTTTCGTTTAATTAGTTTATTTATTTAATTTCGATTGGTTTGTATTTATTGTTTGTTTAGACTTTTAATTGTATTGTCAATTTGATACATCCTCATTCATAAACTTGTACCCCCATTCCCATATGGTTTGTAATAGCTTAGTACTTCTTTGCTATTTTCCTTATATGTTTAAAATTACTATTATGCATATTTTGTTCGTATTAGAACACTTGGTCTCCTCTTGTGCTCATCATCAATGAAAACGTATCCACCTACAAATGTACACTTGCACACATTTCATAGTTTGGTCATAGGCTTTTCTACAACGACAACTACTCGATCAATTGTTCTGATTGGTCGTTTAGAATACTAGTGTCACGCTAGTCCCACTTTCTAGGAGCATTCATATAGCCACTTTGTTTGGGATTTTGATTTTTATTCTATGCATTGAAGCAATTCTCTTCTCTCCCCTTGGTCCACATACCAAGCATCCTCATAAAGGGTCTCATAGTTGAGTTTGGGCATGGTCATTCTCACGAGGTTAATCAAGTTTTGCCCTTGGTTAACCATAACCCGAATCGACCACTTTGGTCTATATACCAAGTGTTTCCATGCATAAAGGGTCTCATAGTTGATTTTGGGCACGACCATTCTCACGAGATTAATCAAGTTTTTCCCTAGGTTAACCATAACCCGAATCGACCAGTTTGGTCCATAACCAAGTGTTTCCATGCATAAAGGGTCTCATGGTTGAGGGTAGGAGCACTTACTCTCACGAGATTAATCAATTACACCCTTGGTTAATCATAACCCAATTCAACTCACATACCCCAAACATTCCCTTTATCTTCTGGACGTCTGTGTTATGACCTTGCGATCGATCTTCGATGCAACCCGTGTATGCCTAATTGATGGTTGATTAAGAAGGCATTTTATAGAGTTTTCACATCTCATGCGCTTAAAAGAAGCAAAGGACCTACTCCATTAGGTATCATTGTGACCTCATTCTTATCTCTTCATTTTAATGCTTTCTAGAGATCATGTCAAACAGGAATAGAGATGCATAAAAGGCACTTCCGTTGTTGATATCTGCCAAGAATCCCTCTGGTTTATTTAAAGACTTGTTTAAGGAAATATTGAACATATCCCTTGTTTTCTAGTCATATTTGTGTGCTTTTGCCGAAGCACTTGTTTTCTCGCTTGTTTGATTTACCATGCTCCCTTAGGATTGCTCGTGTAGGGTTAGTCCTCGAGCTAGACCTTAGGATAGGAATCCATGTATGGTCACCATGTTAGAAATTTCCCTTTTTCATCCTCAACCTTAGGGCCAATCATTGTATGATAACATTAAGGGTAGTGCTTGACTAGTCTCCCTTAGTTATTTTTCCTTTTGTCTTGCATATTTCATCTTAAAACTAAAACTTCTTCTTGGCAAATCATAAAAATGTCTCTAATAAACTTAAATCCTTCTTCAAGATAAAAAATAAAAATCAATCTTAATTGTTTGTTCACCTTTTGGCTTTGTTTTAAACCTTGTAAAATTGTGATATCTCGCCATCTTTACCATGTTATCTTATTATATTTTAGCCGATGTTTTGCCATCGCATATGTTTGTTGTCGATGTTTCGCCATCGCATGTGTTTGTTATCCTAAGTTGATTCTCAATATCATTGTTAGGTGTGATGTTTTATCATCTGAATTGTTGATGTGTCTCCATCTTTGACATGTTATCTTGCTATGTTTGTTGTCGATACTTTGCCATCGCATGTGTTTGTTATCCTACTTTGATTTTCAATATCATTATTAGGTGTGATGTTTTATCATCTGAATTGTTGATGTCTCGCCATCTTTGACATGTTATCTTGCTCTGTTTGTTGCCGATGTATCGCCATTGCATATGTTTGTTATCCTAATTTGATTCTCAATATCATTGTTAGGTGTCAGGTTTTATCAACCGAATTGTTAATGTTTCATTAACTTTAACCAGTTATCTTTTTGTCATTCTATTTTGATTTTCGATATCATTGTTAGGTGTAGTGTTTTGTCGTCTTATCTGATATTTTTATATCATGCTGACATTTTATTATCTTATCTGAGTTTGTTTTACCATGTGATGTCTTGTCATCCATTTTTGTTGTTTTATCATCATTGTTGATATTTTTTATCGTTTTGTCTTATGTTTTACCATCTTGATTGTGCTTTTGTCTTCTTAACTAAAAAACACAAACCAACCAAAATATATGAGCCGAACTACGACTGTTCTAATTACTTAAAATGAATACGTAGGCATTGGGATAGGGCCCAAGCGAGCACAACTTTATTTTCACTACATTATTTTATCGTTTCTTTTGCATGCATTCTTCCTAAATAGTAAATATTAAGCATAGATTTTACACATCCATAAGATAGACAACAAGAGTGGATACCGTAGAGTACTACGGGCGTGTGGGGGGATAATATCTTCCCCTCATGTAATAGATTCCCTTAACCGATCTCTCGGTTACAAGACCGTGATTTCATTCTTCTCAGGTTTTCTCGATGTCTACCTTTCCCTTTCGGGGGATAAAAGACGTCCGGTGGCGACTTCATTGATTTTATATCTGATGACGGTTCGTCCGATTGTGTCACCTCCATGTTTAAAACTCTTTTCCATCTTTCATAATTTCATTCTCTTCAAGTCTTGAACTGAGCCAAAAGAGTACTCGACCATGCCGTTATCTTCCTTTCTAACACCAAATTCCATGCTTGAAAACCTGCATTAAACCAAATAGGTCAAAATAGTCCATTCACTAACAATTTTGCAACTAAACATAATTGTTAGTACAGGTAACAATATCAAAAACTAATTTTTCTATTCTCACAATGTACATCAAGCCCAAACTGTGTCCTGCTATAGAGAAAAAGAAAGGGTGGAATCGTGAGTTCAAAACTAAAAATTAGACACAGCGAAATTCAGAGTAAAACAAAACAGAAACAGAAAAATCAGGAAGGAAAACTTAATGACCAACAGTTCACAAAAAAATAATTATAATTACCTTCTCATATCCTAACAGTTTTCTAACCCTCTAAATAATTCTATAACTGACTCTAACATTTAGAACAGAATTAGAAAGCTGATAATTAACTTTCATCTGAATCAATCATGCCCTTCCATAACAAACTGAAAACGCAATGGCTCAGATTCATGGAGATGATAACCGACTCCAACTTACATAACATAAAAGCGGTAACAGATTCATGGAAAAGAGGAAAATGAGATAGGATACTCACTAGGAAAATCTCTCTCAAAATCTCTGTTTCCATTCATCAATCTTCATCGTTCTTCAATCCTCCATTGAACAATCATCAACAAGCATCAACATCATCTTCATCGTGGATCTCTGTTCATCATCACGGCGGCTTCATCCTTCACGATTTTGTAATTCTGCTCAACATAATTGTATCAATACCGCAACAACAACATCGCATAAAGACGCAAAAGAAAATTGAAAAAAGAAGAAGAAGAAGAGGTGTTCACGCAACATATGAAAAATGTAAGAAACACGGGTATACCTTGAAGCCTTTGCACTGAAGATTTCAAGCACTAAAGACGTCGTCTCCACATACGTTTGGAGCTTAGGCCACTGCGTGAGGATTAGGTCTAGGTTTTGTTCACACGGAATCAAGAATCCTGGAAGTGAATAGAGGGAAACATTCGTGGAGGTTGAGTAATGTTCATCACGGAGGCCGGAAATCACAAGAGAAAGAAGCAGAATCGAGAGAGGAAGATGAAATCGATAATGAAGATGGAGAAACTGTGACGAAGGAAACACGATGCCGCTGTGAGGATCTTCTGGTGGCAAAGTGAAATAGGACGGCAGCGATCAGAGAGGAAGAAGGTTTCGCTGCGATTGATAGAGGGATTTTTGTTCGTGGGATTTAGGAAGTCACAATGCTTCTAACCCTATACAGTTGACAATCGCAGCGTTTAGGTTTTTTGGCAAATATATTTCATTTTTGTTTTTTATTTTAAAAATAATCAGAAAATATATGATGCAAAATGTGAAAAGTTGGATGTTGAGTTTGAATTGGGCCTTCAGCATTTTGGTCTATTGAATTTCTTCAGATTCATCTTTGCCTAATCCATAACACCTCTCTGTTTTCTCTATATTTCCACATTGTTTTTAATTTTGGAAATTTAATTTTGATGCTTTCTTCCATAATTTTTGACTGAAATTTTGTATGGATAGTAATATGTTAGTTACTGACTTGTTGATTTTATTTATGGTTTTTTTATTAGTTTAGATATTAATTTGATTAAATGTTGAATTGTGGTTAAAAGTAGTTTTTGTAACGTTATGGTCAATTCTGTATCCTTGATTCAACTTCCTTAGCATGATGAGTGGTTTAACAAAAGGATTTGATCCCTGAACAATGCATTGTTATTTTTTACGCGTTTGTTCATTTTGCAAGGTACATTTTGGTGCTTTTGATCATGTAACATAACAGGTATTTATGTGATCAAAGCATATGGCTTATGCTCGCTTCTGATGTTACACGCCTTATTTCTCATTGTCCTGAGAAATTCATATCATATTATATGTTGTCCAGATGCATGTGATATTTTGTGATACTTTGTGCAGGAACTTATGATTACGTGTTGCATTCGCAACACGCGTTTGCTTTTATCTTAGTTAGATATCGTTTATGAATTTATTTGTTTCTTGGTGAATCTTTCTCGACGCGTACTCCCTGCTTCTCCATCGCTTTTGTCTGCTTTTGACGATCTTCTTGCTTTTGGTAGTCGTCGTTACTGCTTTTTACATTTTCCCGCATTTTATCGCATTTCTTTACTACTTTCTGATGCCATGAGATGTAGGGATAGATATGTAGGATGGGGGTCTCTGTTGCTGATCATATCAGGAACTCCTCTGGTTTATTTAAAGACCCGTTTAGGAAAATTCCGCATTATTTGCCACTGTGTGCTACTTGTGTGTGGTTTGTTTAAAATCATGGCTTTGTGTAGGTATTTTGCAGGTGTGTTTACATTTGTGCCTGCATTATTCCCCCATCACTTATTGAAGTCCTCAAAAGAAGGCGGGCAGAAAGGGTTAGTAATCAACCCCCGCATTTTCGTCCATGTCATCGTTAGCTCGTGACACACCACGATGCTTCGGATTTGTGCCTACTCTTGTTATCGAGTCGTTAAGTGGAAAAGGGTTTCGCAATCAAATCCACACACTTTTTCAGGAGTTTGCATCGGCCGATGCTGACACTCCATGATTGTTCATATTTCCTTCTATATCCTACCTCTATCTTCTATATCTTGGTTAGGTGTTAAGTCGCTTTGGACATCACATTTTTGTTTTACATCCTATTATCGATTGTTTGCTTCGGGTGATCTGCTCCCCTTAGCTAAAGCATTTCTCTTCTTTTATATTTCACTCCCGCTAATTTGTCTCGGGTAATACGCTCGCCTTGACTAAAGCATTTCACTTCTTTTCTTTACAATTTTATGTGTGTGCTCTTTCGAACTTGTTTGCTCACTTGCTTTCTATACCATGTTCCCTAAGGATATGCTTGTCCTTTTCGGATGCAAGTTAGATTTAGGTTGCGTACCATGCATGCAATAATTCGGTAGACGTTTCCGTTATGTTAATCCAAACCTTAGGACTACCATTGTATGATAACATTAGGATTAGAAATAGGCTACTCTCCCGAAGACTCTTTTCTTCCCCTTTTTGCGTATGCATTTAAAACTAAAACTTTCTTTTTCTTAGCAAATCATAAAACATCTTAATCATACTTATACCTTTTTTTAAGGTAACACAATACAAACCAATCAAACGTGGCATCTTTCCTTGAGGGTGTAACTCAAAACCATTTTCAGGTAAGGACATGTTAATTTACTCCTGTGCCAACGCATGAGTCTCCAAAGGTGGAGCGCAACAGAAGGCGGAATTAACATTATTCATAAAAAACACAAACAAACAAAAACATGTGAGCCGAACTATGGTAACTCTGACAACCATCCTTCCAACAAAAACACCCATACTTATCATTTCAGTTAAATCACTTGCTGCACTTGCAACCATCCTTCATAATAAAATGAACCAAGGGTTTTTAGGAAGACCTTAGTCATTTCTTGATCTCCCATTAGGGGTACCACTTAGGCAGCAACCTCGCGCCAACTCTATGCATACTCTTTAAATGACTCCTTATCTTTCTGAGCCATTTCTCTCAATTGGTCACGGTCAGATTCCATAAACATGTTGTACTTATGCTGCATGATAAAAGCTTCACCCAAATCATTGAAGGTGCGGATGTTGCTATCGTCCAATCCCATATACCATTTCAAAGCAGCACCAGATAAACTATCCTGGAAGAAATGAATAAACAAACGTTGGTCATCAGTATGAGCGGACATCCTTCTAATATACATCACGAGATGATCACGAGGAAAAGAGTTGCCCTTTTACTTCTCAAATTCTGGTACTTTAACCTTTACTGGCACTTTTACATTAGGGACCAAACAGAGGTCACTGACATTTTGTCCGAATAACTCTTTCCCTCGGAGAGTGTCCACTTCTTTATGCATTTCATTGAATTGATTCTGAAAGTCATCCAATTGGTCATAGAAACCTAAACTTTCACTTGGTTGAGGAGCATGGTGATAAACTTCATCATTAATAACAGGCATAAAATTCATTGTAGGAGGCCCATCATAATGAATCTTATTATTAGCAATAGGAGCACCATGCACCACAAGAGTTACAAAAACAGCAACAGTTTGAGCAAATGGAGCAACTTGAACAACAGGATTGTAACCTTCTGGCACAAAATCCTAAGGAATTCCCCACGGGTATCCATGAGGCATACGGTATTTAGCAGTAGTAACCAGAGTAACAGAGATGGTAACTGACATAACTTCCATAGCAACGACCAACGATTCCATCAAAGCAGTAAGATTGGCCATACCATCTCTCAAAGGAGTAACTTCTTCGTGCATCTCATGATTCTCTTGTTCAATATTTTCCATCTTCTTCCTGGAATTAGCCTGAGTGTTATAGCGATGAGACAACTTGTCGGCTGAACGAAGTAGAGAAACACAGCAAGACACCTGGGCATGAACAAGAATGCAAACAATATGTGCAAAATTATGAATGATATGAAATGCATATGATTTATTGTGTTTATTCAAGCAACTCAAAGAATAAAAAACAATTGCAAATATTAAAGTACTAACACATTTGGAAATACTCAAAATTCTCATTTTAATAATAACTTTAGAATGGATTACAACTTTTAGTACAAGTTTCAACAATCCTAAGAACAAGAGAATAAAGATATTGAGTCTACAAATCCTAAAGAGCCAAAGATGATGAAAATCTCTCCACACACTGGTTGATGTATGTTATTAGACTTGTATGTAAAGACTTAAAAACAAACGTTAGCAAACCTAACATCCAAGACAAATATCTGAAACACAACACACTCGCACACGCGCACCTTTAAGGTACCTCGACTTGTTCCCTTCGGAAAAATAATACAGTCATGTCCCTCGAACGTGGGACGCTTTAGCAAAGACCCTCGGTTAAAAAGATCGTAGTCCCTCAATGACTCTTCGATGCTGCCTTTGGTATACGGTCTAGTCCCTTACGATAAAATTGCTAAAGTCCCTTACGAGTTGCCTTTATGATTGTATGATAACCCTTGATTGTCCCTCAAAACATCCAACTATAGGGATACCTACTAACAAATAGTAAGATAGCATTGTCTAAAGGAAAAGAGGAAAAGAACAAAGACCATTCGAGTAGGTAGACCCCTTATAGTTACTTGCTCACAAAAACAAACAAAACAATTTTTCACACATACATAAACTCTTTTCTAAATATTTTCAAAGACAAGAAACACTTTTTATACGTTCTCAACGATACGAGAAACATTACGAAGTTCGCCGCACTAAGGCGTATTTTCAAAAATATTTTCAAATACACTTACACAAAAAAGAAGAATTTTCAAAATGAGCTAGCAACTAAGATCCCGTAGATAACTACGGATGAAAAGGGTGCTAATAACTTCCCTTTCCATAACCTATCCCACGAACTTAAAATATTTAAAAATGTCTTTCCTGTTCTTTTCACCCTTTCCGTTGTTGGATAAAAGAAAAGTCGATGGCGAATCTTGCTAACCGTAAAATTTGCGATAAAAACACAAAACCAGTAAAGTCAATTCTCCCACTATATTATAATAGGAAAAGCACATAATCAGAATAACCTGCACACAAAGAAAATCAACTCAATGTCTTGGGGTAAACCCTAATA